AAAGGAGAAGGGCGGGATATAAATGCAATTAATAATAATAATAATAATAATAATGTTGCAAGCCAGTTGCAAGCGCAGCCGCTGAAGAACCTTTGCATTGAGCAAGCCGGCTTCCACCCTGCCACTCTCCTGCCCCTGCCCAGACCCCTGCAGACTCGCCGCATGCCACCAGCTCACGGCCCGGTTCCTAACTGGCCACGGCAAGGGGGTTGGAGACCACTGATATAAGTATTTATTTAGTAAATTTATAGGTGGCCCATCTCATATACAGTATCAGTCTGTCTCTATTAAAATGAGTCTATTATCTATAAAACAAAATTAAAAATGACAAAACCAACTAGTTAAAAACAACAAAAATATTAAAATAACAGCTGAGAAGACTCTCAACAAACAAGCCATGACATGGGCTCATTCATGCTATCAGGGCCCCCAATTAAACAGCAAAGCTAGGTTTCCAGTACCTTGCAGAAGACCAGTAGGAGAGTCAGGACAAGTCTAATTTTTTATGTGAGAAGTGATGTTCCAGAACAAGGGTCTCCAAACTTGGAAGACTTGTGGTCTTCCAGATTTCATCAGCCATGCTGAGTTTGGAGACCCCTGTTCTAGAAGGCAGGGGTCATGGCAAAACAAGCTTTCCTCTTGAGACCCAACAGGTTTGCACTCAGCACCCGGAATATTCCCCTCTCAGTAGGTCTAATGGAAATTGATGGAATCTTTGACAGCAAAACATCAGGTTTACTATGTAAACTTGGTTGGAAGGATTGAAGCAGCATAAAACCATAAGGGTCCACTTTGGCTTGATTTACAGATAATCTACTTTATGAATCCAGTCATGAAGATTCATAAAGTATGATTTTAATTTACTGTGTGAATTTAGTCACTGTGGTTTATTGAAAAAATAGTACTTGAGCAAACCAAGTTTAGTATGATGCATAAATCCAGTGATTCTACTTTCCCATTACTCAGATCTCCTGTTGCCTATCACGACTTGGCAACTGACAATACTAATTAATGGCAATTCTGCCTAAGGGGATGAAAACTAGTGGGAATAGTTCTAGCAGCCATCTGAGGTGTTACACTAAAATCACAATTGGAGTAAAATTCCATGAAGCATATTGCCTGAGAATTCTGAAAATCCTCACTCAAATTAGACTGAAAATACTTTTAGAAAATTTTAGAAGATGAAGAAGGATATTTAAAACTTGAACATAGAAGTCATACCAAAAACATCTGGATGAAAACAGCCTCAGATACCTAGATAGCTAGGATACTGATCAAATGTTGGTTAGCAACAAATTGCACCTGACCAGTTTGCCATATCATCAGTCTCTCAAGGACCACTAGAATCTTACTTATCCATGGTTAGCCCCAGACCTGAATTAAATATTATTATTTGAATATACTTAAAGTGACCAGATACTTTCTACAGAACTTTGCAGTCCATACATAGGACTTATTTAATTTGTATTCCACCTTTATTATTTTTACAAATAAGCCAGTGAACATATCCAACATACCTTCCTCTTCCCCAGAGCAGCCTTGTGAGCTGGGTTGGATTGAGAGTAATTAGACAAATCATCCAATTGGCTTTTATGGCTAAGATGGGACTTGAACTCATAGTCGCTTGCTTTCCAGCCTGATGCCTTAACCACTAGACCAATCTGGCTCTCTAATATACAGTATAAAACTAATGTTTATATTTTTACAGCAGTTAGGAATTTTCCATTGTAGAAATTGAAAAATGGAAAAAGGTGCCACTTCTTTTCTCCGAGGTACTTCAAAGAGATGCTTTGACTGAATGATAGCCAAGGAAAGCACTCATTAAAGCTTTATAGAGTCCTTGTTTAACTATTGTTAACAATATAACCAGCTAAAATCTTCTGCTAAACACCATATATTTTGCTTGATATTGACAACGCATGCTCATGAACAGAATTGTGTTATTTTCCAGATCTGGCAAAAAATGCATATAACAAATATCTGTATAAGTTTCTCATCTTTTTCTTAGCATGCAAAGGTTATGCACTTTCATAAATAGTCCAATTCTGATATATGTCTATACGATAATAAATTGAAAATAAGCTAAAGTAAATATTCAATGAACTGATATTATTTCTTTTACTATCCTATTGTATGTCAAATTTCTATTTTCATTTTTTAAATAAATCACATTTTATTACAATCATATCTTAGATAATTTATCCTATTAGATAAAAAGGATTAATAGTTTAATCCTAGCGTATTAATTCCTCTTAACACTTTTTCCAAATGCAGGCAAAATATAAAACATGATTTATTTAAATTATATTCATCTTCTTTCCATAGGATACAAAAATAGAGAAGAAATGCAAGTTGAGATATTGCCTCTTTTGTTTTCATAAAGCTACTATTGAACTCAGCTACATATACTATATTATATTTTCTAATATCAATTTAAACATGGAAAAAAGGACCTGTGCGATAATTTAAATGAACAGCCACCCTGTGCATGTCACATTCAAATAATCAAGAGAAGACAATACTACTATATTTTTTAAAATCTTGCAACTGATTTATGTCACTGTTGATGCATTAAACTGATTCTGAATTTTTCCTGGATCATCTACAAATATAGAGTAACTTATGCGTTGCATTTTGAGTTGAAAAGGCATTAGTAGTAGTATTATCATCAGATATCAAATTAATAAAACACAAGACACCACATGTTAGATATAAAATAGGAATTCACATTGTATTCCACTCAAGGAAAAAGAACATTTTATTTTCTTGAGAACCATTTTATTTAAGACAGTTGCAGGTCTAATATGCCATTATAAGTTTCATTATGAATCAACAATAAAGTGCTGAATTATATTAATTACCTGAATCTTAATCTCATTTGTAGTCTTTACTTATGGTTTCCTTATCAAGTCTAAAAAGCCCTTACTGCTGTAATAGCTAAGCTGTTGTGCAAGTGTTAAAAAAATAGACAGCTTTCAGTGGAGGCTATGTAGGACCTCTGATGTTTCCATAAATATGGCTAAGGTATTATAGAATAAAATGCATGCACATTATCCATAGGAGTTATTTTAAAATGAAGAAGGGAGATTCTACAGATTCTTCTGTTTACAACCGTATTATTAATTGTACTAACTGAAGGCTAGATCTGACAAGCATCATGCCAACATGCTTTAGTTTCTTTTGTGGTTACGTGTTTTAAATAGTAATCTCAGACTGTCTGATCTAGTTATTCTTGCCAAATTTATAAAAAAAAAATCAGATTAAATTCAAAATAAAAATTTCTATGCCTAGTCGCATAGTCAGCCCCAGCAAAAAAAAAAAAATGGGCAGAGGAGAAGATAGCAATACATTACTTCTCTCTGCTTGCAACAAGACTTATTAAATAACTTTTACTCTTAATTTAATGTGGGTTTGCCAACATGAGCACATTTTACTCCAAATTCAGCACAAAACTCTGTAAAAAATCTATAGAAAGCAACTGCAGAAACAGCTAGGGGCAAAAAGTCAAATTAAAGTTTATACAGCTGACGACGTTTTCAAAAACTGTCAGGCTGTAAACGGCATGTTCCCAAGAAAGTTCTAACCAACTGCAAGAACACAGTATCAGAGCTGGAACTAGCCAAGTGGTGCATAGAAATATGCCAACACAAAAACAGTCATATTGAAGCCAGTGCATAGAGAGGATAAAAGCACTTATGGTAATTGCAAATGTCAACAAGTCTTTACAACTTGTACAGTTCAGCAATGAACTCATTAGAAAAAAGTAGAAATGCTCAAGCAGGAACGAAAAAAATGATTTCCCAACTATAGAAGATTCACACACTAGTAAGAATAAGACAACATCACAAAATTATTCAATTCAGTCCTAAACAACCAACAGGCAAACTAAACCAGAATAGACAAGCCTTTGGCTGGCAATTTTAGTGAGTCCAAATATAGTGTTACATTTCTAAATAATCCACAAAATATATTATATGATATGTTTCTTTTAAATACTGGGTAACCAATTCGGCAGATCCATTTCTAATGATTTAGTCAATTATCAAGATAGACCAAGCTGAATGAACAATGATGTGTCGCTGGCATATCATAACTATGTTACTAACTCATGCTCCCAGCTCCAAAAGTCTATTGTGAGGCTATCATCTATGTAGCAAAACAAATTTCTCAAGTTTTTCCGGGATGTGCCCTTGGTAATTTATGCAATGATTCACAATGACACGGGCAGCAAGACACTGCAATGTAGTATGGTTGATTGGCTGGATCAAGTTCTTTGCCATCTCTTTTTCATCCAGCAAGTCAATAGCAGTCTGTTTGTGTAAGTTTGTTGCATCAAAATGTGCACCTGACTTGATAAGAAGATTCATAATGTCAGGATGGTTGTTCAGTGCAGATATGTGCAAAGGGCTGTTGTCATCAGAGTCTCTAGCATTTACATCAGCACCACATTCCACTAATATAGCTGTGACTTGCAAAGAAGGAAATTTACAAACTGGGTAGCGCCCCACACAAGTTGTGTTCTTATCAACAGCCAAGTGGAGTGGGCTAAAGTTATTTTTTCCCCTAGGATGCAACTTAAGAAATTGATATATAGTCTGTTTCTTAAAATGATCTTGTTCAGTACTACAAGGAACTTTTTCCAATAAGCAAATTAAATGCAAAATGATGGAAAGAGCTTTGTTGAGCTGTATTTGGTCAGGTGGACACTGAGTCTGTTTGATAGCACGTTCTATTTCAAGGACACTTTTGCACAGTATGCCCATAAGATCATCAAAGGTAACTGTTGTGCCCAGTAGACCTTTTGCCCTGTCCTGTAACATGAATGAAAAGAGTTCAGCAAATGATAAAAGACTGCTGGCAGTCATAGGGCTCAGAGGGTCCAAATTACTCTGCTGCATGTCCAAAGCATATTTCCAGAGATTGATACATCGTTTGAAGTTTCCAGAATCTGCATAGACAGCACCCCTGTACCGAATATAGTAGGATGTATCTGGGTGAGAAGGGCCAAGAATACGTTCTCTAATTAGCAATGCCTGCATTCTCATCTCATCAGGGTCTGCAATTAGGTTCTCTAACTCTTCAGCATTGTTCACTTCCTTGGCATAATCATAGGCCATAATTAATGTCTGAGGTATAGGTTTGTTGAGAACATTAGTCCTATCGCTGTACCTCATATCCATAGCTCTTTTCCAGTACTTCAAAGCACCAAGCAAGTCTCTCTTTTTGTCCACAAATGTGGCTCCTAAGAGTTCCAGGGCATTGATGCATTCTGTTTTGCTTGTCTCAACATGCTGAGTCAAAAAGTCAACTATGTTTGTGTGGCCTGTAACACTTGCAGAGAGAAGGGGAGTCATTCCATAACCATCTTTTTCCATCTTCGCACAATACTTCAGAAGCATCTTCATGATTTCCAGGCTACCGGATTCTGCACAGTCATGCAATGCTGTATTTCCTATTAGAAAAGAGAAAGCAATGATAATGAATTTTACTATAATCTTCAGAGCAAGACTACATCTATTATAAGTATCTAATAAAAGGAAAATGCTGATTAAATATCAAATACATTATCTAATTCTAACTGCTGAAATGGTATTTCATAACCTAAGTAGATATGCAAATAAACAAGCATCCAAGGGTAGTATAATTATATCAACACCATATCAAAAAAGACTGTCGAATCATAGAAAAATAAGAAAAACAATTAGTATTGCATATGTATATATCTTAAAATTTGCCAACTCAAAAAGCTAAGTGATTTTTTTTTACAATCTTCCTGCAACCTTTCAGCAGACATTCTTACTGTATTCTGACTGTTTAAAGAGATAAAAGAAATACCATTCTATATGTTCGTCCTTCTAACCAATATTCAGGCCTTTAGATAAAAGAGAAGAGCATTGGAATAATGACAGGATCATATAGGAAGGGCTTTCTCTCTCCCTCAACTGGTAACTGCAGAATAGTAAAATAGTTATCCAAATAAAAAAGAAAAACATAAAGACTAGTTTCTTTTTATTGTTGTGTTAGCATCCCTAGCCTACAATTCATATGATGTCAGCCTCAAGCTGACAACCTAGATCAGGCACGTCAAACTGCTGGCTCATGGGCCGGATGCATCACACTGAAACTGTGCCCAACCCATTGCCGGCAATGGGGAAAAAGTCCCAATACGTTGCATGACATCACGGGTTTGACATGCCTAGCCTAGATCAAATCAGGAAACAGCTCCATAGAAAAACTAGAGCTATACATTACAGAGATAGAATAATGCAACAGAATGTTGCCTTCCTTCCTCTTACATGACTGGGAGATGGAGGAGCCATCTGAGTCTTTTTCTAATATTCTCTTATCCCCCTGGGCTTAACACATGTTTCTGCATATGTTATAGTCTTGATGGTTTCTCCAAGGTCATCTCTATGGCTCCTCCCACATGATGGACTAGGTTCTTCAAAAATCAGGGGAGCATATTGGTTATAACATTGGGCTATAACTGGAAACTTGCTGAATGGATTTTGGATTAACCACTCTTTCTCCACCAAGCCAACCTCACATGGTTGTTGTGGGGGAAAAAAAACAAAACAAAATGAGAACCTTATGCAGAGATGAAATCTTGGAGAAAAGGCAGAACATAAATAAATAAACATAAATTATTAACAAATGGTGCTCATCTTGGCAATTCAAAATGCTAAGATATTTTCTGATGAAACATTTAAATCAAATCAGGTATTTAATCATGTATTCAATACTAATAGCCAAATATAATTTGTTTTTAATAAATGTATCTACTATTTTAAATAGTGAAACTGAACTGCAGTGTTAACCTAAGGATAGGAAGTATCAGTGAATTATTTCAAATATCAAAATAGTATAAACAAATTGATTTCATAGGCAGCCTTACCAATTTGCCAACTATAGTAAATTTAGGTACATGTTTGAATTAGATCAAGTAGCTATCTAAACTGCAAATTCTCACTAAATTCTTGACTAAGTTCCACTATTTCCTGCAGGAACACTCTGAATGTTATATATACAATAAATATATTTATATTTATTATTCCAAAATGAAGTGTTATTATTTATTATTCCAAAATGAAGTGTGTATATATACTACATATGTAGTTCAATATAAACAGAAGACTGCAAGACAGAAAAGTTGATTCAAAATGTTGCTTTGCTTTCCTACTGCTTTACTACCCAACTGTCTTAGTATATACATTCTAAAATTATGCTGACATTTAAAAGTATTTTATCCTATCACTGAAATGAGCTACTGTGATGTTTCAAAATGGACCAACAATATAGTACTGGAAAGCTTTCTGCAAAACAGTTTTTTGTAATACAGCCGAAAGAAAAATGAAGTACATTGGTTTACAAAAGTGTATGCTTATTTGGGGAGGGAGGGAGAGATCTTTGTAAGCTAGCAGGGAGCATTATATGGAGCAGTTAAAGTTAAGAATATACTAATACAAGCAGAGCACCTTTAAAAAAGATATAGACATCTAAAGTTTGATATCAGTTAAACCTGGAAATTGCCAAAACCATATTTTACCAACTTCTCTCCTCAGATTCCACAATAACATATAAGAAAACTGTGCAATCTGATGAAAGAATTTCCTAAGGACATATGAGAACATATCTACAGGGAAACCCCAGGAATTCTAACCAATCATCTTCTATCTATTTCCCAAAATACACAAACCAGATCACCTCTGTGTTGTCTTAAGCACAGGATGGAATATCTGGTTTCATGGATTTTGTATTCAGATTTTATGCCACCAGCATTCCCAGCTACACAGGAGACACCACAGACTTCCTAAGAAAATTGAATTCCATAAGCAAAATCTCTCTAACAAAACCATTTAACTCATCAGGGATATTGAAGTACTATACACTATAATCCCTCATAAACATAGACTCCAAGCTATCAAAAATATCATCACTAATGTCCAAGTGCACACCTTACCACCAGACTATGTGATTTTGTATTTATCTATAACTATTTCACTTTTGGCATGTACCTGCACATCAGTGGCACACTATATGCACAGTTCTCAATATGACAACATTTTCATGGCTGATCTAGAACAATATTTTAACTTACTCCATGAATCCCCTCCTTTTAATTCTCCTCATCTGAACTGATAGAAATTAATCTTTCTCCAAATTCTATTATGGCTTTAAGAACTTCCATGTCACCATCAACCTTGGCCTAAACCTATCCACAGAATAATCTATTTCTCCAATGTCAATTTAATATCATTATACAATGGACACAAAAGCATCACATTAAATAGGAAACCTACAGATTGCCATGGATACTCATTTGAGAGAAAACTCAACTAATGGAATTAAACCAGCATTCAGGAGGCTGAACCACTTATATAGCGAGATCAATAGACAAATCAACAAAGAGATGGCCAATTAAAAGAAACAACAACAAAACAGAAGAGACCATTAATCAACAGAACACCTACAACTACAGCTCAAACCACTCAAGTACATTATTAACAAGCTACAGCCCATACCAGACAATTACAATGCATTTTCTCAGACACTGGATGGCCAGTCCATACTTTCATATAGACAACCTGAAACAGATTCTCACAAGCAACAAGAAACAATAGGACAAGATGCCAACGTGAGAACTAGCGCTTGCAACAATCCCAGATGTCTAATTTGCCCCTACTTCTACGTCAACAGCACCATTACAAGTCCCAACAAATACATATAAAAGATTAGAACTATCTTCACATATTCTTCCTCTAATGTAGTAAGACATATATTACAGCAATGCCCCTGTGGATTCTAAGTATGACAAATCGGAGAAACTTTGTGCAAAAGAATTAATGGACAAAAGTTTGACATCAGAACTTAAAACAAGAATAAAATAATATCCAAACATTTTAAGCTTCCTAGGGCAGACCACAAAGTGACTGTTTTGGAAAAATAAGACTAACAATACAATTGACCAAGAAATTCCCAAATTCACATACATCAAAACACTCCAGGCAATCTCAGAAAATCTCAACAAACATATGGATCAACAAACACAGTGGATTTTTATACATTACGGTTATTAGTTGATAAAGTACTTAATAATTTGTCTCACATATAATCTGCATACCCAACCTAAATACACCTCTCCCCTATTTCACTCCACTTTAAATCCTACATCAATCTAGCTACTTATACATCTGAAGAAGCGAGTTGCAGCTCAAGAAAGTTTAAATTTTTTAATAAAATTTGCTAGTCAGAAAAGATGCTATCAGACACCCAGTTTTTGCTACTCTAATAAACATTTCCTCTTATAATCGATGGGCTATGTCACATATGTGGATGGGATTGGGTTAAATAACAAAGATAAGTTGTTTTTTAAAAACCCATAACTTAAGTTTTGTACTACAGCTTTCATATCTTTTCCTACTTTAAAACAGGGAGAAATGTAGTTATTTTTTGTCAATCACAACAATCCCAGGGTGAACTTTGAAGACTGTAAGTTATCTGACCCAGTTTATGGCATTAGGTCAGTTTGCCAGATTATCCTATTTGTTATAGCTGGATTCACAATCTAGAAATATGAAATATAAAAAAATTACCCCTCTTGAAAACATTTACTTATCCTTATACTTTACTTAGACACAACTATAAAGAGCTTACTATTTATAAATCCACAAAAAAGGATTAAAGAAGTACGATGCATAATGGCCTTCCTCATCTTGAAAGAATACTTAATGTATTTATACAAACAATACATGATATAACTATTTCTTTATCTATTCAACAAAAGAAATTGTTTACAGATCATATTTTGAACTTTTTAAATTGATCTTTTACACAGCAATATTACCACCGGCTCCTAAAATTCACTGAAATATTTTTGTATTTTAACAACTGAAATATATTTCAAATAGCTATATATTTACTTCAGTTTCTTTCTTAACTATGTCTTTAATTTACTATTTAAGCTAAAAACATTATAAACATAGTTGCTGAAAGTACTATAATGCCCATAGGGTTTATCATCAAAGGTTCAACCATACTCTGATATACAGTATAATTATTGATTATAGGTAGTCCACGATTTACAACAATTGAGCCCAAAATTTCTGTTGCTGAACGAGACAGTTAAGTTTTACCCTATTTTACGACCTTTTTTGCCACAGTTAAGTGAATCACTGCAGTTGTTAAATTAGAAATACAGTTGTTAAGTGAATCTGATATTAGTGAATCTGGCTTCTCCATTGATATTGCTTGTTAGAAGATCACAAAAGGTGATCACATGATCTGGGGCACTGCACCTGTTATAAATATGACTCAGTTGCCAAGTGTCTGAATTTTGATCATGTGAACATGGCGTTGCTGCAACTGTTGTGTGAAAAATGATTAGTCACTTTTGACAGTGGCATTGAAACTTCAAACGGTCACTAAAAAAACTGTTGTAAGTTGAGCACTACCTGTACATGTTCATTAGTCTTTGAATTTTAAGTATTATACTAGTTTCTATCTTCTAGGATCACATACAAATCAGCATATATTATACCAAGAGAAAAAAAATGTAAATAACAAAGTGGGAATTAACATATTTCTTCTGTCTGTCTCTAGAATATTCTGCAACTTGTTCTTTCATAGACACAGCAAAATCACACGCTCAGTTATCGAGAGCTTAGTAATTCTAAAAACTCAAATATTAAAAATGCACCCACCTAGCATTTTTAAAATAGCTTTGCAGCAGTATATTACTCAGATTTATTTCTCCATACTATTATCAGAAAGATTTTCAAAGCAAGAAGCATAGAAGTCTTACAGAAAATGATATTCTACTATCACAGTGTATGCTTGAAAAGAAATATTCTTTACAGATAACCATTTAGAAAAGCTTCCCTGACAATGAAACAGATGGTATCAGAAAAACTAATTGTTTTTATTAGATTTTATCAAAGTTTATAGATTTTTGCTATTTTTTGATGCAAATAGAGATAGACTATCAACGCTTATATGCATCCATATGTCCTATTGAATTTGATGGTACTTGTTTCCCTAAACTTAAAAAAAAACATTTGAATTGATAGAATTGATAGAATTGATAGTGTTCTCCAGCACTATCTATATAAGTATTTGCCAAGCACCAATAACTTTTATTTCTATGTTGTTGCTTCTGTTAATAATTTTAGTAAATTACAGATTTTCAGAACTTGAATTATTTACACATTTTAAACTGAAAACTAATGTTATGAAGGCCATCAAATTGTTTAGCTGGCTGGCTGGTACCAAGATTCAAGTCCCAATTTAACTATGTAATTCAGTAAGTAACTGGGTAGTCACCATCTTTCAGCCTGAACTATTACATAGAATTTTTATTGTAGTGAGAAAATGATACACATTCCATTTATATTGCTTTAAGTGTAAATAATAGGGAAATGCAATTAATAAATAGCACATTGTTAAACAGAATAATGGACAAACTGACAACTGCTGATAAAATTATTTGTAATGCACCCGTAAGTAAAAGATAAATTGTAGTCAATACAGAAACAATCCACCTCCTGAAAGTCTCCTCTCTTATAAACTATCAGATCATGCTTCAAAGATTGGAGGACAACATCCATACAAGGACCTATAAGATCCCATTTACCTTATTTAAATTATCAAGTTCTTTATTAGTGAGAAAATTCTATTGAAAAGTCTTGGCTTGTGCATAACATTAAACAATGACTTATTATGTATATACACATAAAACGTTTCCATGCAAAAGCACTGCTAGTAAATATTCTCCTTTCTGCACCTTCTCTTCCTACAAAGAGGAATAAAACAAAATCTGTTTTGAGTTTAGCAAAGTTTGACATTTTAAAATAAAATGTCAATTGCTAAACAAGCCACCTTCGATTCTGGATTGTATCTGCAGATTGCTTAGCAAATGCTTATTTTAAACCATAAAACCTACTTTGTAAGTAACATAAAAAAATCTGTTAAATTATTCTTTTCATTTATTTCTTTACCTAGTCATGGAATGATGAAGTAATAATATATAAGAAATCTTGGCATAAAGTTCGTATGATATGCAGGTTATGTATGAATCTGTCTTACAACATACTTTACAAAAAATTAAAAAATAATGTACTAAAATGAGGCTGAGAATTTAAGGAAAGGAGGTTAGGCTCTGCTGCCAAGTTCAGTAACAGCTTCTTCATGTTATAAAAATAGAATTCATCATACACTGCTCTAAGAGCAGAACTTATATTTCAATTATGAGTCATTCAGTAACACAGTGAAAACTGACAGGACTAGAAGTTCACTAAGCAACAGAAAGCAGAGCACTGAATATTGTGTTTAGAAATTGTGTAGTGATTTTTAATAACTATGTTGTAACTTCTAATCTGTGAGATAGACTAATATAGATTGCCATACTCTATATGAGAAGTTAATACATTACTTTATGAGCTTATAACCAAGATAATCATAGACATCCCAAAAACAAGCCATTCATACTCGATTTATAAAAATTTTACTGTCACTCAATATTTAATTGCATATAATGAGTATTATTTATGAAAAATTAAATATATTTCACCCCTGCCAAATTTTGGAAGAATGAAAGCTATTATAATGCCAGAGTTATTATAACATTTTTTTAAAATGGGAAGATAGAATCAAGTGTACCTGAGTCAGGGACAGGCTAGTTATAATAAACAGTTGGCTGGAAGAATGGTCATACTTACTAAATCAGGAACTATGTTAAAAATGAGGAAAAGGTGTTATGAAAATATAACCTCATGCTCACAACTAGAACAAAAAGACAAGGCAGGGCAGCTGCCATCACAGTATAAATTAGAGAAACACTTTGAACATTGTTTCAGTAGCCTAGGGAGAACCATAAGAAGAACACAAAGGGATCTGTTGTGATCCCAATACCACATCCTTTGTTTATTCCATCACAGAGTGACTAATTTCATTCAGTTCCTTATCATAAAAATTTCAGCAGGTGGCAGCACCTGGCTTATGTCTGTCTGAGCTCTGAAGTTATGTAGAACTGGGCCTCATTAGAACTTGAATAAGAACCACCAAGGAAATCAAGGGCTGTTGATTACAAAGGAAGTGACAAAATCCCAGGAAAAGGCAATAGCAATCCTTCTATAATTTTGCAGGTTTGTACTTTCAAATAAATAATATCTGTAAAAAAACAACTTTTTATTTACTTTTCCTATTTAGTATGTAGTGATAAAATTCATGACCCCTCCCAAAACCCCAAAACCTTAGGTTCCACACAATGCTTTTAGAAAAAGATGTCTCACCAAACTATTCCAAAATATGCATGCATGTGGGCTTAATTATATATACAGCACCAGCAGAATATACCCAAAATAACATTTTGTTAAAAAACTATAATTTATAGGATAAAGCTTGTTAAAGCCTAGGTAAATACTGGAAGAACGAATCAAAATGTGGCTTAGTTTGCTCACACTTTGAACCTCTAAGATGAATATTCTGAAGAGAGTTTTTTTTAGCAGTTGCCCTTTTAAAAATGGATACTGAACTCACCTTTGACACTTTTTCTATTTACATCTGCCCCTTTCTCAAGTAAATACTGAGCAATTTCTTTGTGTCCTTTGTAGCAAGATATCATAAGACATGTATGTCCGTGACGGTTAGACACTTCCAAGTCTGCTTTGTGTTCCACAAGGTACTTTACAATTTCTAGGTGACCATCAAAGCAGGCAGCTCTGAGAGGTGTTGAGTTTGTCAAAGTGGTATTGTTGACAGATGCTCCATGATTTAATAAAGACTGAACCACTTTCAAATGACCAGCTGCTGATGCCGCCCATAGCGGTGGTGCCCCTTCAATAGTCTCACCATCAAAGTTCACAGAACCACCAATTTCTATAGAAGCACTGCAGTGTTCCAGTAGGTGTTCCACCATGTCAAGATGCCCATATCGGGCTGCCATTAGGAGGGGGGTGGCACCATTTGTTTTTTCTGACATCAGCAAAGCCATCTCGTCTTTAGTTTTATTTGCCAGTAACTTGGTGAGGAGTCGCAACTTGCCATCACGAGCAGCATTGAATACGGCTGTCTTAAGATCCATTTAGTCTTGTCCTCTTCAGAAGCAAGATGAATGCAAGATGCCTGTGCACTGGGACCACAAATTTGGATATTATTCTGTGAATTATCCTTGGCAGATGTGTTACCGTTGTATACTACATCAACTTTCAACATGGGACTTCCAAAGCAAGCGCTATATTTTGCAGCCTAGAACAAAATACATATTTTAGATTTGTGAACTATTGAAGCAGCTACGCTGTTTTTAATACCTGCTCTTTATCCAATATTTATATTTCTTTTACTTTTATACTTTTTTATAATTTTAGAGCTTTTAATAATACCATTTTGTAACTATTCATTGTTTTGTAGTTTTGTTTACGCTGCCTGGAGTCTCATTTGAGATGGGCAGCTATATAAAATTACAAATAAATAAGTGAATATATTGCTCAAATGGGTCTTTTTTTAATTACCAAGTGAAACACTTAGAACAATGCCCGGGCCCTTATTTACACCCTCCTTCCTCAGAAGTCCCCTTCCAAAAAACACAGCTGAAATCCCCAATTTTCTCTCTGTTTTTGCCATCGGAATTAAATTGTAAATTATTCTAGTAATCCCACGAATATCTTGCTCGACCAACCCTGAAATCCATCCTGGGAACAACCCTTCTGACCATCTATTGGCACATTAGACTGCAACTACTGGGTTGGTCACAAAATAGTAGGGATGATGTTAGTGCCTGGGATTGAAGTTTTGTCCTGCAAATGTCACAGATCTCCTTCCACCCCCAAAAGCATGAAGCGCGCCCTCAAGCCTCGAGGAGACCTGAAGTGTATCTTTCCGCCAGCTTTGCCTGTTATCTCTTTTAAACGATTTTAGCGACCACGAATATCTAATCTTATTCCTCCCTTCTCGAAATTCGACACCCACATGCGAGGACCTCAACCTATCTTAGGATGCCTCTTCCCCCTCCCTCCCGCCGCCGCCGCCGCCGCAGCTGCAAAATCGTTACGGGCACGACGCGACTCTGAACGCCCTTTGTCACGTCTTTCCTCGGGGAGCCTCGGGTGGCGAAGGGCAGCAGGAACAAGCAAATCCCGGCACCCTCGGCTTCAGGGAAGTCCCCGGCTGGCGGCCGGTCCCGTTTCACTTTCCATTTGCCCGCCTTCGAGATTTCGCTGCCGCCGCCGCCGCTCAACCGCTTCCCTCCCCTTTACTATCCCCGACAGTCAGGCGGGCGGTGGGGCGGACGGGCTCCTTAGACGCCCGAGAGCGAGGCCAGGGCGGAGACTACGGACGGGGTTCTCTCTTTCCTCCCCCGCCTCGAGCAGAGCAGGGAGACGATCCTGGCCGGGGAAACGAACTACCTTCCCGAGGCGTGTTGAAGGATCGGCGTCGACTCGGCTCCCCGAAGCAGCCTCCGCGCCGCTTCTTTACACCGAAGCCTCCGCCACCGCCGCCGCGCCCCGTTCCCAACGCAGCTCCTCCATGACAGGGCAGGCGCTCCCGACAGCAACGACCCAGCCTCCGCCCTCTCTTCCCCCTCCCTCCCTCCCGCTCCGGCGAATAAACACACCCTACCTTACTACCGTCCGCCTCTCTCCACCCCTCCCCTCCGATCAGGCCCAAATGGGGAAAAGCGTAAGGCGCAGGAGGTAGGAGGCGGGGCTGGGCGAAGGACAAGCTAGGCTGAGAGCGCAGGAACGAAGACGGTTGAGAAGGCGAGGGCGGGTGCTAAGCTGGAGTGGGGCGGCGCCGTGAGGTGCGGACGGCTGCTGACTTCTGGCCTGAGGGAAGTCGGAGAAGTCGGGTCGCGCAACGCTGGGCTAAATTAGCACATAATGGAGGCGAACGGGCGCCAAATGAACGTGGCCTCTGAGCAACCCACCTCCGCGAGGCTTCCCCTGGCGCCCTGCCAGTCTGACTCAGTTTCCCGCCCGCTCCGTGCGGCCAGCCGAAGAAGCAATGGATGGTTTCTTTGGGCTGGCGTCTGGGCGACAGAGGGAGCGGGAGCCGCGAAGTGTTGATTACCGGCCAGATTATAATTCTGACTAGTTGACCAGCACGCTGCGGTTCAAAAAAACGAAGAAAATATGTTTGGGGGGATTTTGTTGTACCGTCAGTTGCGTTGGTTTCTTGGAGTTACGTGTAAGCAATTTGGGGTGTTCGTAGGAACTTTGGGGGGGAAATCACTTTCCAGAAATATTTTCCGTCTATATTCAGAAACCTTGAGGTGTTACTATTTATTTACTTACCTACTTATTTATTACCTTTTACATCTAGAATCTAGATATGAGCACCTCAACTCCGTAAGACTTCACTTCCATTACTTTCAGTGACTATTCTGAATTGAATCTGGATCTAAATTGTGTTAGATCCGGATTCAATTCAGACCTGACTATATGGTAAGCATAAAACCAGTCCCAAGCAGAATTTGTAGGGCTTCTACCTAAAGGCGTGCAGCTATGTCATTTTTTTTCTTTCTGAAATACCTTTTTTCTATGGGTTAAGGAAAAAAAAAAATCCAAAACACTGGTTTAAAATGGGCCGGTTACAAATATGGATCTCTTAAAATTTTGTGAAAAAAGCAAGAGACCTATAAAAATCTTTTGAAGGACCTCATTTGGTCTTGGATGTCAGTTTGCACTGTATGCCAAATATGGAGTGCTTATGAAATTAAAATTGGATGAGCTGACTTAAATTATACAGAATGAATAATGGGATTTTTACTCAGGTGCGTGGTAAGTGATGTGTAATCAAAGAATAAAATTGCCTTCAGTGTGATAGGTTTGAATACAATAGCTAATATTACAGTTCCAAGTATTCTTAAGATCCAATCCTAAAAATAAAGTCTGTTTTAACCCATCTCTTAACTGAAATCTCTTAACTGAAGATGAAGCATTATTTGGATTACAATTCTACTTCTGCACATTTGACACTTTAAGCTTCCAGCTTGTTCTAAGGGTAACCTGAGCACGAAACAGTTTGCATAAGGTAATTATCTTTTCATTATCCTGTGAGTTCATTCAAGTTCTTGATAGAGTTTTGCTCCATATTCTAGCCAATGGAATTATAGCTGATAGGCATGTAAGATATGATTTTCTCAGTTATATCTTAGAATGTAGCATTCCTTGTTCTGATAATCCTGAATAATTCTTTAAAGCATTCGACTGCTTAATAAAACAATTTAACATATAGGTATTAAACTATTCTCCTTTTTCCTGCAGTGTTTTAATAATTTGTATAATATAGTTACATTGGTTTTTTTTTAATATATAATCTTTTTAGAGATATTATTGGTGTGAAAATCCTGAAACAGCTTCAATTACATTCCTGGATTGAAAATTGTGGATTATATATATCATCCTATAAGTATCATAATAAACTCATTCTATTGGGTACCTGTTTACATGTAGTCAAAATATTATCTACAGTATCCCAAAGAAATCTGCAATTTTAAAGAATTATAAGGCTTAAAGAAGTTTAATTTTTCTTTAAGAAAAGAAATGCTACAGCAGAATAGCAAAGACCAATGAGAAGTGAAAGCATTCACCACTGTGAGAAAACAAAAATTGGAAAATGAAGCAAGAGAATGAACTGTCCTGAGAAAGGTCATGATGCCAGTAAAAATAGGACTCCACACGCAATATATTTTGTAGGTTCATATTAAGCAATAACTTTAACACCACTTCACCCAGACATGGAAAGTGCAGTTCTAGTTAATAAAGTAGCAGGACATTCTATTTTATCTTAGGGCTCTTCTGGTATAGTTGTGTTAACATACATTTGCTCAGCCCTTGAGTTAACAGTAAAGTATGCCAGCATAAATCCACCCAATAAAATGTAGCCCTAATCTGCATCAGTTGCAAAAGCAATAAATGTGTACTTCTCAAGAATGGCTATAACCAGCAACATCCAGAAGTAGCCTGTGGAATAGACAGTGCCACAGGAACAGGCCCCTCACCCACCCACAAAACAGACGCACATAAACCTTGTATCAGAAAACCTGTGATATTCATTGGTGGTAGAATCCAAGTCTCACTGTTCTAAATTTTCTGTGATACAGATTTAATATTCTCCCAAAAGAGAACACTAACTGCCTTTTAAACCTAAAGTAAGGTAAATATGGCATAAATTGTGACTGGGCAGATACAAATGTTCTTTCCTGAATTTTTTTTTTCACTTTTTAGGTAATTAATCTAAAGACATTTCCCAATAGGAACCAACAATGTACAAATAAGCTTCTGGGTAGACAAATCATAAAGCACAACAAATCTCTAATGACAGTAGTGTAATGGGCTTTTATAATTTATTAAACTAATATGCTGCCTGGCTCCCAACAACTCTGGGCAACTCACAACAATCAAATTACAATAAAATCGATAAAATATAATCTATGATAAGTGTGACGGCTAGATGAAATAAAACTGGAGTAGGGGGGTGGGGTGCTTGCTCACCAAAGGCCTGGTCTTCACCACTCTTCACAACAACAAAGCAATCTTGTGTTCTCAAATTGGCTTTAGGAATCATACAAGCAGGTACTGAAAGACAAAGATCCTTCTTCCCTTTTTATACTGGTATTTCTTGGATTATGACCATTCAGTGACCATTCAAAATTATAGTGGCATTGAACAAATAGTATTTAAAACAGGTCCTTTTAGTTCCAACATTTGCCTCATCTCATGGTTGTGTGATCATGATTTCCTACATTCCCTGATGGCTTCCCAGTTAGCAAAGTCAGCAAAAAGTCAGAAGTCACAGTTATGATCCTCATGGCATCACTTAAGAATGGCAACCGAGACTGCTAGAATTGCCATCGCTAAGTGATATGGTCACAAGACATCAAATTTTATGACTGCATTGCTTAGTGATGACAATTCCAGTCCCAATTGTTATTGTAACCCAAAGAGTTTTTGCAAACATCTTTCAGACAGTTAAAGGCTTCCACATCTACTGATTACACTGTGTTTCAAAACTGAACTACTATTATCTTGAACTGCAGGAGGCTACTGGGGAAGGTGCGTGCTATTTATATATAAACAGGAGAAGTTAAGCCTATCAGCTTGTCAAACTAGTTAGATATTGAATAGATCAAATTCCCTGGCTAGTTGTGAAACACAGCAGAACAGGCAAATTGTTAGATACAATGAGAGGATGTCCCTGTTCTCTGCATCCCTAAAAGATCTGTTTTCTTAAGAAAAAAAAGAAGGAACAAACATTTGCTGCAAAAAAAAAGGTCTTGAAAATATAAAGTGATAGCAACTGAAGCCTGCAAACTTAGTCCTGTTAGTTGCCAAAACATATGGCCTTTCTAGCACCTCCTACATCTCCCTCAGTTACGGGGTGTGCTTCTTGTACTGATAGAGCACTCTGCTGTTTGTCAAGTGCTCACTGAGCAGCAATTAAGATTTTCAAACATGCCTCACTTCAAAGGCATATTTCAAGAAACTTCAGTATCAGTTTTGACTAAGCAAGACGATGACACCAAATACCTTGCACAAGATACCATTAGTTTGTGTCTTTCTATATATCATCTAAATTCTAGCTGTTTGAAAGTGTTGATAGTAGCTTTTTTGTTTCTTTATGTCTCAGTCTAATGAGTAACATTTTTTAGTTAGCAGTTTATTTTTGTTACCTGAATAGTGACATGGTTGTTGTGCAATGACTTTATGCTTTAAAACACTTAGGAGCAAAGGTACATTATACATGCCAAAAGGAGTGCTTTCCTGCTACACATTGTCTGCGAACTGTTTTGCCCTCATTGGCTTTCTGACATGTAAATTCATATTTGAAACCAAACAGCTGTTATAGGAAATTACAAAAGAAAAAAAGAAAAAGAATGGCATGTGCAGCATCACTTCACTTTCTTCTTTTCTACCTGCATACATATGAAAACCCCAAGTGGAGAACTGTAGGTGGGAGATTAACAAGAGCTGAGAAAATGCTTCATTTGTTTGTTGGTTGGTTGGTTTTAATATGCCACCCCTTTCACTATCAAAATCATTCAAGGAAAGTGTAGTGCCTTTACTCAGGTATCAATTTTCCATTCAGGAGATAAATTTTATTACTTCATCAAAATAGCGTCATTTAATATTATTAGAATAACATAAAATTACCTGTATAATATTGATTTTATGAAAATGCCTGAGGGCAGATGTACGACTATTGTCAGGGCAGAAATATTGACACTGTATTTCTGAAGAATTGAACTATTTAGTCTATGACATGTTAGTGACTTTACTCAAGATAGATGGACAAAGATTACTAGACATAACTTCAGAATATATTATGGGTAGAGCACCATTTTAATAAAATATGATAAAGACATGCTTCTTCAACAAGGAAAATCAGTAAGAATGCATGTCAATATCCCTATTCTATTTTCATGAAACTAGTGAAACCTGGGAAATAACGAATTTATGTTTTGCAAATTGATAATGTCCATGCCACAAATGTTATATTATTTGTGTCAGTGACAACTGTGTAAATGTCAAAGTATTACTAGCATTTTGTACAACTATTAGGTT